GGGCAGACTTGATGTGTTGCATGACTAGCCGTTCAAAGCACTTCATGAGGATGGGGGTAAGTGCAATTGGACGGTAGTCATTGAAGCAGGATGGAGACGACTTCTTTGGGACTGGAATGATGGTGGTAGCTTTGAAGCATGTGGGGACAACAGCCTGGCTTAGCGAGATGTTGAAAATGTCTGTGAAGACATCAGTGAGTTCAGAAATTGCTAGTAAATTTCACAAAAAAATGGCAAGAACACACTGAAATTAATGTGAAATTTAAATAGTATCTTTTGCAATCATTGTTTTATTTATTACTTTGAAAAAATCTCTTTTTTAGTGTGACATACCATTTTTTTGTGTTTGAAGCGTATTATCCAATTGAAATGGTGTTTAAAATCAGTCTTGAGATCTCTCAGATGCTTGTGTTAAACTCAATGTGAAGTACGTTTGGCCGTCATCCACCGGCATCATGGCCCAATAAACTGCTCAGCCCAGGATTAATGCTTAATAACCGCAATGCTTTCTTACATTCCCCAAGACTATTATCTGGTGATTAAGAGTGTTTCAAGTCCACGTCTAAACAGCTATGTTGGATAGTTTTGGAGGAGAACACTGCCAGACCTCCAAACTACATCTATATCTGCTGTGTTTCCACTCGTGTGTGTGTGTGTGTGTGTGTGTGTGTGTGTGTGTGTGTGTGTGTGTGTGTTGAACTCTGGGTAAGCCGGCTTCTCTGGATCTGGGTCAGGCCTATTTGTCCAGGATTAGCAGCAGAGAGCTTGATTCGTGATCAGTGACTTCACAGTGAGCTTCTAAAAGCACATGGGTCAAACACCAATCAGAACAATAAGAGTTTAATACAGATGTATTTTTCTCTGAGCAAATAATAATGACTCTCTTACACTACTACCATGATTTACACCCACAGAAATGTCATTCAGTTTAACAACAGTTCATCTTGTCAGGCATATTTAGAACCAGGATCATTAGAGGACATTAAAAGACTCTATTTAAGAACCAAAAACTAATGAATTGTCATTTTTAATCTTCACCAATCTTTGCCACTATCCTTCAAACCAGGTCAGCAAAGTCTCTAATCATTTAAAGTATGATCACTTTTTCTTTTGCATTTTTTTACTGGTCAGAATAAGTGTATGGTTTCATTTTTACATGAATGTATCCGTTACACTGAATGCCGGTGAAACATTATTTCACTCATATTTTGACATTTTATTTTCACAAAAGTTATTTGAAACATTACATTAGACACTTTACTTGCATTCAGTATAATTTCCATGCATTTAAAATACTGTGTAAGTACCTAAACAGATCAGTACCTTTTAAAAGGGTCCATTTCTATTGTGACGTTACGCTTCTCTCACACTTTCATTAAAAGCATACTCAGGTTCAGCTGTGGAGAAATCAATAAAACATTATCAGATGAGGCATCGCTAATTCACAAGCAATAGTAGATGCAGAAAAACATCTCAAAAAAGGACATTTATATATTTATATGCATTAAATTCAGTTTGTTTAGTTGTTTTCTGTTTGCTCAGCCATGGCTTTTTTAATGTTCATATGAAATGCTGTGTATTTTGTATATTATCAATCATATACGATCTTGATTCAGGCGAGACGGTTCTGTGAAAATTGTTTTAAACTTTAGTGTACACTAAAAAAAATGTACTTTGAAACAATTTACACTACATGTACCGCAGTATTTTGTAATATATCTTTGTTATTGTATTAAGAGTTAATCAGTTATTAATTACATATTTGGATGGTTAGCATAATAAGAAAAATGTCAATATGAAAGTCAATAAAATGTATGTCACTTCAGTGCGAGCTGTTAATGCATCTTTATCTTTTAAACACTAGATGGAGCTAAAAACATGTCCACTTATCTCTGCGGCAGTGAGTGAAAAAACGAAATAAATAAATAATACATTTTTAAAAATACCCCAAAAAACAGGGCACAAAACTGTATGAATATTAAGGAATTTTCTGTTTTTTTTATTTTTATTTTGCAGGTGTTTTACCTGCATTTTGAATTTTGTACTTCACTGCATCATGTTTTAGAGTTAACAGTAAAATTATATATATTTTTATTATTTATTTATTTTTACAGTGTTATAATATTGTTGTTATTGTTTATTATTATTATTATTCCTAGGTTAACTTTTCAGTGCATTTTTCAATGCAATGAAAAATCTGTTGTTTCTCAGTGTCAATATTAGATTTTTTTTAAAAGGTATTAATTACTGCTAAAGTAGCATATTAACTGAATTGTCAAATTATGCAACTTTTAAAAGCAATCATCTGAGTGGACCAATTACAGAAGTATAACTAAAGGATTTTATTTTGAGTCGTTTTATAGAGATTTCTGGGTCAAACCGAAATAACTTTAAATGAATCAGTGAATCTGTGTTTTCGGTAGGCTGTTTGAATGCAGCTCTCTGAGAGTTACTGTCAGTAATGTATTTGCCAACAACGCAGCGATGGACAGACGAATCATTTCCGCGATCCGGTTCTTTTGAACAGTTCGTTTAAATGAACCAGTTCAAATAATTGATTCACGATTCTTACGTCATGACGAATATGCGTCCTTGTTGCAGCTCATGGAACGTTTCAAAGAGAACTTGTTACTTTTCCCAAATGTTATATATTATTGGAACTACATTATGTTGTACTTATTCAGTTATATTGAGGCGTGAAATACTGTCATTTATCAATAAAAATATTCAGTATTCAAGACCTCTCTCATTTTACAGGAAAATTTACTTTTTTTTTGGCTCTACTAAATAATCTAAAGAGGATGAAAAACGCTTTTATTTAATGTATTTATATTTTTGACCAAATTTCACAATCATAAATACAAGTTTACTAATAAAAAAATGGTTTTGTTGACTGAACTATAGGCAGTATTAAAGACTCTTTGAATAATACAGCTACAAAACAAATATTTCTTTGATATTTTTACATCCTTATTTTGTATTTTATATTATTACCCCCCCTTTTTTTTCTCTCTTTTTTATTTCATTCTGTTTTATTTTTGTATGCATTAAAAATGTTCAATCTGCATTTGAAAGAAAAAAATGAAAACAAAAAGTCGTTCAGAACATAAGTGTAATTTGTATTCAAAACTAAACTTCAATTACAATACTTATTCATCTTTTACATCTGAGTTCGAAGACGAATCGCTCTTCTGATTCATTCAAAAGAATCGACTCAAAAGAACGATTCGTTCTCGATCGCCAGGAAGGATAATAACTAAGTTTCATTTAAAGAACTGATAAAGAAGCTGGCCAAATGTTGAATGTAGCTGATATGCCCTGTCTTAAACAGCTGTTTTTTTTGTCTTTTTAGGAAGCCAGACATCCAGGTGCCTTACCTGTACTTTGATTTAGGAGCTGCAGTGTTGTGTGCCAGTTTCATGTCCTTCGGAGTGAAGAGAATGTGGTTCTCTCTGGCCGCGGCGCTTCACCTGGCCCTCAGCACATATGTGTCCTATGTGGGGGGGCAGGTCCATTATGGAGACTGGCTGAAGGTCAGAACATATTGTTTGATTTCATCTGTACAAAAAGGAATCATTTTTGTATTGTTAAGTCTAATATCAATGTTATCGTGTGGCACCAGAAGTAATAACTGTGCTTTGCCGTAGAAGTCTTTTTGTAGGCCAAACTGTAAGTTTGCATCAATAAAAAAAACAGTAGTATTTTCCAATTGGCTCTTGGATGTACACTGGAAAAAAAAAAAAAGTTGTGTGACCAGCATAAGTTTGTGATTCTAGAAGGTTTTGTTCATCATAAGCTTCACAGATGAGCACAACTTTTATGAATTTTGAAGCCTAAATGCATGGCCAGAAGTACAAATCTAAATGTAGGCTATAATTAAACTACACCAAGGTTGCATAACTTTAATGCCTCCATCAAAAATCTATATTTGACCCTGGAGCACAAAACCAGTCATAAGGGTCAATTTTGTGAAATTGAGTCAGAATAAGCTGAATAAATAATCTTTCCATTGATGTATGGTTTGTTAGGATAGGACAATATTTGAAAATCTGGAATCTGAGGGTGCAAAAAAATCTAAATATTGAGAAAATCATCTTTAAAGTTGTTCAAATGAAGTTCTTAGCAATGCATATTACAAATCAAAAATTAAGTTTTGATATATTTACGGTAGGACATTTACAAAATATCTTCATGGAACATGATCTTTACTTAATATCCTAATGATTTTTGGCATAAAAGAGAAATGTATAATTTTGACCCATACAATGTATTGTTGGCTATTGCTACAAATATACCCCAGCGACTTAACACTGCTTTTGTGCTGCAGGGTCACATATTTAAATGCATTTTCCTGGAAAGTCTGAGCTAGAATAGTTTGCGAGAGCTTGATTCTAAACACATCGAGGCTGTGAAAGTGACTGGCGAGTAGATAGACGTTTATTGATCCTGACAACCTCTGTAGACCCATTTAGACATTTTTTCCAAGACAAGTAGAAGCTTTACTGCTGTATTTTATGTCGTAGAATAAAACGTGAAAATACCTTGCGCTTGTGTTCACCATATACATTTATTTCAGACATTTAACCAAAACCCGTTTCAAAAACCCATTGACTTCAGGACGATGCAACCAGAAGTGCTAAAATGCAGGTTTTGAAAAGCAAGACTCACACCATTGCTTGATGTACATTAAGCTATGATTTTTAACCAATTAACCAATGTTTTCGTTGATCTTCCTATTTTCTGTGCCTCTGACTGCTTATGCAAATCCATTAGCCATCTGCGATATGATGTTATATAACTGCAGTAATATCTGTCTGTGATCAGCGGTCAGAGGAAGGTTTGCTGGAACGTCAATCATCCGTTGCTGGTTTGAGGAAGTGTGGACGTGTAGATTCATTGATACCAGCTTTCATTGCTAACCGCTGCAGGTGAGGATGCACTCCAGAGCCATGGCCATCACGGGAGGGTTTCTGGTGCTGGCCTGCGGAGCAGGAGAGGTGTACAGACAGAAACCACGCACACGCTCGCTGCAGGCCACCGGTCAGCTCTTCCTGGGGATTTACCTCATCTGTAGGGTCAGTTCGTCCAGTTCTCACAGAAACAGATCAGTTTGATTCCCACAGTCGTGGAAAACCTAGGCATGGAGATCCGCAGGCCTGGAAAAGTCATAGAAATGATTTAAATGTATATTTTTGTAATTATTATCAGTTGTAAGATACAAGATAGAAGTTGCTCTTTAAATACAGTATGTATGCAATTAACTAACAATAATATTTTTCATGAACAAGGCTCACTAACTTAATTTAAGCACTACTTAAATGTTTAGTAACTAGTTAAGCATTACTAGTTAAATTAAAACTGATTAAACCTAAAGTAATAAACATATTTTGTCACTTTAATATCTTAATATCTAAAGTTTTATATATTAAATAATCTTTTTTTTTTCTCCCTTACGTTGTTTTTGATGTTTTTATTGTTACTGCTGTATTTTCTCTTTTAAATTTTGTATCCTTTGAGTGTAAAGCGCTTTGACAATGAACTTTTAAAAGTGCTATATACATTTTTTTTTATTATTATAGCAAACTAATTTCAAGAATTTTTTTTGTATGTTTTTTTTTTTTTAGCTCTTTGACGGATTCTGTTATTGGCTTGAAATCGTGTTGCATGTGAATGGATCCTCCTGTTGTCATGTTTGAGTGTGTATAGGGTTAACACCACTGCTGTGGTTTCTCCTCAGGTTTACTCGCTCCAGCACAGTAAGGAGGACCGTCTGGTCTATCTGGAGCATATTCCCGGCGGTGAGATCACGGTGCAGCTGCTGGGGGTTGTGTTTGGGGTGCTGGCGCTCTCATACCTCTCGGGCTGCTATGTGCGAGTGGCTTCACAGATCCTGGCCGTTCTCTTACCTCTGATTGTGCTGTTCATCGACGGAAACATGGGTTACTGGCACCGCAGCTGCCGTGTGGAGTTCTGGAACCAGATGAAGCTCATCGGGCAGAACGTGGGCATCTTCGGAGCGGTGCTCATTCTAGCCACAGACAGCTGAAGATAGAGGGATAAAGCAGCAGCTCTGTACAGCAGGAGAGAGCGAGCATGTGTCTCAGGAGATAAAGAGAATAACGCTCTGAAACCGACAGAGCTGGACTACAACTCCCAGCTTGCTCTGGAATCTGCCGTCACAAGCACAATGCCTTCAAAAGACCTTTCATACGTGGCCTTTCATTCCTTTCCATTGCATTATTTAAAAATTAAGAACGACTAGGAGTCTTAAAAGTTAAATTAAAGTTGAATGATGCATTTGAGGGGAGTTTGGAAACATTATTGGCAGTTTTCATGTTCTTAAGCTGTAGAGTAAAGTGGGATTTTTTCTCCATGTTACCGACGTTTAAAATGCCATTGCATTGTTTGCTGCTTGTATTTAAGTTTGGATTCCTTATATGACTTCTATAAAAGCATCACAATGTCAATTAAAACATTTTTGTATGGAACCTACAAAAACTTTTGATTATTGTATGGTATTTATAGATAGAAAGAAAGATATATATATAGATAGACATACAGATGTATAGACAGACAGAGATAGATAGATAGATGTATAGACAGACAGAGATAGATAGATGTATAGACAGACAGAGATAGATAGATAGATGTATAGACATACAGAGATAGATAGATGTATAGACAGACAGAGAGATAGATAGATGTATAGACAGACAGAGATAGATAGATGTATAGACAGACAGAGATAGATGTATAGACATACAGAGATAGATAGATGTATAGACAGACAGAGATAGAAGTATAGACAAACAGAGATAGATAGATAGATGTATAGACAGACAGAGATAGATAGATATATAGACAGACAGAGATAGATAGATAGATAGATGTATAGACAGACAGAGATAGATAGATAGATGTATAGACAGAGATAGATAGATGTATAGACAGAGATAGATAGATGTATAGACAGAGATAGATGTATAGACAGACAGATAGATAGATAGATAGATAGATGTATAGACAGACAGAGATAGATAGATAGATAGATAGATAGATAGATAAATGTATAGACAGACAGAGATAGATAGATAGATGTATAGGCAGACAGAGATAGATAGATAGATAGACAGACAGACAGACAGATGTATAGATAGATAGATAGATAGATGTATAGACAGACAGAGATAGATAGATAGACAGACAGATGTATAGATAGATAGATAGATAGGCAGATGTATAGATAGACAGACGTATAGATAGATAGATAAACAGATGTATAGATAGATAGACAGACGTATAGATAGATGATGGATGGATGGATATAGATATACCTGTACAGATGGATAGATAAATAGATAGATAAACAGATGTATAGATAGATAGATAGATAGATAAACAGATGTATAGATAGATAGATAAACAGATGTATAGATAGATAGACAGACGTATAGATAGATAGATGATGGATGGATGGATAGATAGATATAGATATACCTGTACAGATGGATAGATAAATAGATAGATAGATAAACAGATGTATAGATAGATGGTGTAAATATTATAACAGCCACTCAAGAATTCACAGTATTATCAAATTTTCATCAACTGTATTGTATAGTTTTATCAAGAGTAAATAGATTTTGATAAAATATCATGCTCTCAAAATGTACAAAACTTATACTAAAACAATAATTTAAAATGTAAGTTCTCTAAACGATTCGGCAAACAAATTGTTCAAGAACATGACAGTTGAGATCAGTGCATCAAAGAACACAATACTACATTATCTCCTAGAATCCACTTGCGTAGATTTAAGGTAACACTGAATAAAAGGACTCCCGAGCTCCGGCTGGCTGCTCCTGGTGTTGAGCTGCTAAAAGTAGACAAACCTTCTCTGGAGCTTTTCATGCGTCACTCAGCTGGAGATCACTACCGAACACTCGAGTACTGAAACACAAACTCAAGTCTAATTTCCTTCAGCAGGACTTTCTACTATTAGCAAGCTCAACGGATGACAGCTTAAAAACAAGTAATGCAACATTTTTCAGAGCAAGGAAAAATGATCCATATTGAATTCACAGGATTAATAATAAATTATAGAGCTCTGCAGTGATGGCATATTTGTAGGCCAACCTAGTTCCCTCATCAAGAACCTAATAGGATTTTTCTACTGGCTTTTGGATTATTGCAGAGAATAAACTCAGTGACCAACACAAGTTTATGGTTCTTGTATGTTTTGTTCAGCATGATAATCTACACAAACAAAACTTTTATGAATTTTGGAGCCTAAATACAGAAAGCTAAACCTGGAAATAAATGAACTACACCACGGTCACATGATTTCAACGTCCCACCATTAAGCTTCAGACAACTTTCTTCTGAAAAAATGTAAACACTTGCAACCAGTGTTGGGAAAAGTTACGTTTAAAGGTAATGCACGACTACAATATTGCGTTACTCCCTAAAAAAGTAACTAATTAAGTTACATTTTATGGAAAGTAATGCGTTACATTAGTTTTGAGTGTCTGAATAATACTAGTAATACTAGTGGAATTTACTGGTAGTCCACTGTATGAAGAATTTTTTAGTATAATATATCACAGTTCACTTTATTTTGCTATCCTCACTTACATAAATGAACTATAGTGTCCTGCACCCATTAGTAAAAAAAAATATCAAAAATTATATCTGCTGTCTGAATAATTACAGTCTGGTTTGACTGTAGATGAGTACTAAAACGTGCAAAAATGAAGACCGGTTGTGTAAAATAAGACTCTATTGCTAATAGCTGTTGACTCCTTTCTTCATTTGCGAGACTCCCAAGGCATAGGATCGTTTTCTTATTTTTCCAGGTTCATCTTTTGCTTCTTTCGCTTGCGTTCTGCCATAACCAAGGCCGCCACCACAGTGACCATCACGGTTCCGGTGAGGACCAGGACAGTGGCCGTTTCTGCGATACACAGCTGACTGTGCATCAAACCGAGAGACGCTCCAGCCAGCAAGAGCGGAGAATGGCACGTGATGTTCACGTAATCGTCCACGTGGAGATGCCTGACGTGGAGAATCTTACTAAAGACGCGATGCAATTCGCAGTCGCAGGTCCAGGGGTTCTCCGACATCTGCAGATGCGTCCTGGGCGTCTGCAGGTTTAAGAACGTCTTGAACTTCAGGCTTCTCAAGTGGTTGGCTTCTAAGTTCAGAATGGTGAGGGTTTGTAAGGGGGCCTTGGGAGATATTGTTGTGGTTCAAGAGAAGAACTCCAACACCCTGTTGCATGGTGAGCAGGCCTCCTTGGACGACTGTGAGTTGATTCCATGCAAGGTTAAGGTGCCTTAGTATGGCGAGGCCACGAAATGCACCAACTTCGATAACCTGAACGTGGTTGTGACTGAGATCTAACCTCTCCAGACTTTCTAGGTCCTCCAAGGAGTGGGACTCGAGGCGTTCCAGAGCGTTGTGGGAAAGCTTGAGATCTTTCAGAGCGGTCAAGCCTTGAGAGAAATCTGGAGGAAGGACACGGAGCTCGTTGTAAGTCAGGTCCAACTTTTCCAGGAAGGTCAGAGAGGAAAAAGCCTGGAACAGAAACAGGGCACTAAGATAGAAGTAGAGGAATATATCTTCTGTTCACATTTGAAGGAATAGTTCCCTTAATTAAAGGGGTCATATGATGCTGCTAAAAATAACATTATTTTGTGTATTTGGTGTAATGAAATGTGTTTATGCGGTTTAAAGTAAAAAAAACACATTATTTTCCACATACTGTTTTTAGGTAGGTGTGGCTGACTCTTAACTTTTATAAAGAATATCTCTTTGGATTTGAGACTTTAGTCTTTGCAAATTTACAGATCTTCTTTATGCACCAAGAGCTTGTAACACTCCAAAGAGAAAGGAAAAAATGAAATCGCATCATATGACCCCTTTAAGCAATCGTTCACACAACCTCATGTTGTTCCAACCTTACTTCTGAGAAACACAAATGAAGATATTTCAAATGTTTTGGCCGTACAATGAAAGTCATCGGGATGCAAACCAACATTAGACACTTTCATTGAGTGGACAAAAAACTCATATGTGTCCCTGCAGCACAAAAGCAGTGTTAAGTTGCTGGGGTATATTTGTAGCAATAGCCAACAATACATTGTATGGGTCAAAATGATCCATTTTTCTTTTATGCCAAAAATCATTAGGATATTAAGTAAAGATTATGTTCCATGAAGATATTTTGTAAATTTATTACCGTAAATTTATCAAAACTTAATTTTTGATTAGTAATATGCATTGCTAAGAACTTCATTTGAACAACTTTAAAGATGATTTTCTGAATATTTAGATTTTTTTGCACCCTCAGATTCCAGATTTTCAAATAGTTGTATCTCAGCCAAATATTGTCCGATCCTAACAAACCATACATCAATGGAAAGATTATTGGATGGATAAATCTCAATTTAAAAAAATTGACACTTATGACTGGTTTTGTGGTCCAAGGTCACAAATACCATTTTTCAAAATATCTTCTTTTGTGGTCCATAAAAGAACCAGAGAATAACTATGTTGGGTTCAATTTTTCTTAATGTGAAGAACCTTTTTCCAATAAAAAGAACTTTTTGCACAATGGAAAGATTACACTCCTAAACATAAAATGTAATTTATTTGGTATCAATCAGTTCCACGCAGAACCTTTAACATCCACTGGACAAAAGGTTCTTTACACTCTTAAATATAAAGATTCTTTTTTGGGCATCAGTGGTTCCACAAAGAACCTTTAACATTCAAGGGAACTTTCCATTTTACATACGGTTCACTTTAAGAAAATAATGGTTCTTTTAAGAAATGCTCACTGAAAGGTTCTTTGGGGAACTGAAAATGGTTCTTTTATGGCACCATTGAGAAATCCCCCTTTTGAGACCTTTATTTTTAAGAGTGTACAGTGGAAAAAGGCTCTTTAGGATATTAAAAAGTTCTTCAAACTAAGAAAAAAACAATGGTTCTTTTAAGAACTGTTCAGTAAACGGTTGTTTGGGGAACCAGAATGGTGGTTCTATGCCATTGCTATACAAAAATAATAATAATAATAATTTGGAACCTTTATTTTTAAGTGTAGAACAATTTTTCCACTACAAAAGAACCATTTGTTCAATGGAATGATTCCATGGTTGTTCATGGAGCCATTGATGCCAGTAAAAAAATCTGTGTAAACAGAAACATGAATTTGCAAAAACAAGCCAAACTGAACGCACCTTAGAATGCACCACCTGCATGTTGCTTTGTGAAAGCAGAAGGACCCTGAGAGCCCATATCCCAGTGAAGGAGGTGCTCCTCAACTCTGACAGCTTATTCCCACTGAGCTCCAGGAGCCACGTGCCATGTGGAATACTGTGGGGAATGTGAACGAACCCTCGGGATCGGCAGTCCACCAGTTCAGACGCATCGTAACAAAAACACTGACGAGGGCAGAGCTTTGAGCTCCCCACAACGAGGAAAGCCATGGGTAAAACAGCGACGCAGAGCATCTTCAACAGCTCAGAGTCTTCATTCAGAAAGAGGAAGAAATGCTTGTAGGCATTCCAGATTAACAAGCACACTTGCCTTGCTCGTCCTCAGTGCAGAATCATCAAGTCGAGCTGGAAAGATGACGTTTGGTGCATTTATGATGCATTTTCAAACAGCTTACGGTCTGGGATCTACAAGGATTTGTAGCTTGGCATGAGAAGTCAAATAATATAAAGAGCTCGAAATCCTTTAATCCGTTTACCATTTCACACAGAATAAGAGTTAATCGCTTTTATGTCAATCAACTTTCTTCCTGGACAGATGTGCATAGATCAAATTAATGCATGCCTTACAGCTCAATTACAGCTCTAATTACTCACCACAGTCTTCATGAATATAGGTTGAGCAGAAACATGGATGATTCATATTTCCTCTCTATCAGATTCTTGAAAACTGAACTACACCTGCACCCTTAGTTCTTGCTTCACTAAAGAAACACAAAGCTTGAGATTCTTCACCTGGATGGTGAGCATCTCACATGCAACTCTGCATTTAAGTCTATCACACGGACTTGATTTATCCTCATCACTCAAGAAACAAGAGTACTTGGTACATAATGAATATTTCATTGAACACTCCATCAGTTTGGAAGCAGGACGTGTAGTCTTACAGTTCTCCTCTGAAGATCTCAATAGAAACCTTGAGGAGCACCGTACACTGTTAAATCTTTGACGTGTGCTATGGTTTGTTTAGAGATGGAAACGGGTGCCAGCGGTGTGAATGGAACGATGTGTATTAGTTACAGTAATAATCCAACCTTTATCCTTAAATATTCAAGAACAATCAAGAGCTTTTGACACTGCCATAACAGAGTCAAGGGACGTCAAACCCTTCATAGTAGTGATAATCCACTGAAAAAATATACCCCAGCGACTTAAGACTGCTTTTGTGCTGCAGGGACACATTTGTGTAATTAACCCAAGTCTGTAGCTAGAGATGTTTTAGATATGTGACTAGTAAACCTAATTATAACTGCACAGGCATAGAATCACATTTCCCTTCCGATTTCTAAAAAATACTCCAGGAACAAACATGCCACTAGAGAATAAATGCTTGCTTTTGGCACAGAACACTGGGACAGAATATAATCTACACTGCCCAGTATATGAAAATAAAGATATTAAGGGAAATAAACCTGCAGTGCATTTTGGTAAATTTAAGATTTTTAAGACCAAATAAAGAAAATTGAAGGAATAAATGGAACAATGTTCTCTGAATGTAAATTTCTAAGCAGCACACAATTTGTATTAGCAATGCTTCAAAGTCTGAAAACACAAAAACCTTTATTTAAAAAAACTCAGAAAATGCGATGCAAAGATATGTTCTCTCAAGTAAATATATCTTAACTTAAGGATGTTTAAAGGATGTTGTTTTTTGCAGAGCATGCAGCATGTAATGCCATGACTTTAGTTTAAGAGTTTCTGCTCTGATTTAACACCTTTTTAAGGCTTTTCATTTGTGGAAGGGCCGATGAGCTCAGCAAACAGTGTTCAGTTATTCTGAAAATAAAACGGCAGATGATTTTACTTCATATTTTACATTAGAACTGCAATGCCAAGATACACTGTTATACATCTTTGAATGCAGAACAGATATAAAGTGCATACTGCGTAAAAGATTTTCTGAAAACAACCGATGCTGTTCTAATTGATCAAAGAAACTCCCATTAGAAGTTTACCTAGTGTGTTTTGCAAAACCACTCAGATGCTATTTGATTAAAGCACGTAAAAGTGTTTCAGCAATTAAACCCAATATTTTCTAACCCCTTTTTGCAAGCGGTGTGTTCAAAGTTTGCGAAAAAGCAACTGAAAGTACAGTATTACAGTCAGAATTTTTGTTACTTTTATTTTAGAAAACGTCCTTTGTAACGCGTGGCATCTGAAGTCACATTTCGTTTAAAATACAGAACAGACACAACTGTGGAACATAAACAGCCCAAAGAAAAAAGCATAAAAAGTAAAAGCTAACAAGCTTTTCTGACTGATTTGGGTTTTTCTTTTTTTGACAAAATGGAATAGAAGGCGAAGGAGGGATGTAAGAGAAGAAATATGAAAAGCTATTTCAGATTAAACACAGGAGGAAGGAGGGGATAAGACACTGTAAGTTAGTCAAATAAACTATGGTTTGTTTGATGGTTGGCGTTTTAAATTATCTTTATAAAGTCTAATTTAGAATGAACTCTTTTCACTCTCGTGTTTTTTCCTTAAAACATTTTTGCTTTTTTTTTTTAATGTTTTTTTGTGTGTGTGTGTGTTTCTTTTGTTGATCTTCCAGACCCTAGGCCCTTGGTGCATCCACCCTCGGACTGCGCCGCAGAGGGGGAGACGAGCGCTGGCTTGCACCAGCTCTTAGGCCCTGGATGCCCGCGGTGCCCTCCCCAGACGAGCCATACCCCCCACTCAGGAGGATAGAGACGAGTCCTTCTGTGTTTGCTGTGCTGGTGTGCGCTGCATCGACTTCTGGCTTTCCACATCTTTAAAATGTTTCTCAACCTGAAAGGAAAGAGACAAGCAAGTTGTACAGCTGTAGAGGAGGATGCACCGAGCATAGCAGAAACTATTCAGAAACATGTCAACAGCTTTCTATAAAACAAGTTGTTGTTTTTTTAGCACCACTGTTACAAAAAAAACTACACTTCCATAATGCACTTAAAGTGCTCTATTTTCGCACACTAATTTTGTACTTAATATACTACAAATGATTCTTTAGTACTACTTGAGATAAACTTAAGATCATCAAAGTGTGCTCAACTACTATTTTGGGACACCATGAATATGAAATAAAATGCACTTTTAACATACTATCTGTATTTAAAAACTGTATTTAGTCACCACTTGTGGTACACTTGAACCCATCTTTCATACACTAGTACACTCATATCTAATGAATATTTTGTATTGTGCATATATAATTTCACAAAATGCCCCTTTCTAGAGTTCATTTTCCTAGCTGACTAACGAGCTTATGGTCACCGAATATGTTTGTTTCTGAGGTAAATGTGAGGTTACGTGACATTGACGTCTTTGTGCAGTTGAAACACTGATTGAGCGATTACATGAGACAAGATATGTTAAGTTGTACTCTTTTTTTTAACTTCCCTTCGGATGTTTATTTAGTGCTGCAACTAGTATTAAAGCGGAAGCAATGATCAGGTCACACTGCCGCTTCTCTTGAACTGAGGCGCTACAGCAATCGGTCACATTGTAATACAACGGACAGAATTTGAAATCTGAGACTTTGTTTCATTTCAAAAGTAAAGCTCAAAGCTTACTGTGATTTATTTGATGGGAGGTGCGCTACAATGTTCTGTAAATTAAATGAAAACAGACTAGACTAATTGATTCTTGCGATTTAATTTATACATCTAATAATCAACACTCAAAAGCGGAGTTGTATGCAAACATTTCAACAGCACATATGGCAGCTTTTATTTCAACTGTTTAATGATTTAATTTAGTTTTTCTGCTCCTATTTGCTGAAATATAAACATTTAAACAGTGGCTGTCATAACATGACACATTTATTCAAACATACAATAAATATGACTACATTAGCAGGTTAAGTAAAATTTAATGAATATGTATTAGTGCATATATATATATATAGTACATCAAAATGCTCCCCCCCCCACTTGCTAACTAGTGAGCTATGGACAATGAATGGCTCATTCACAAGCTGTTTTACTGACATCTTTCTGCAGAATTTGAAATCAGAGATTATTGAATAGGAAGTGCGCAACAAATAATGTGTTTAGTGAAGTTTTGTTAATGCGTCAACTGAAAACAACTTGGATTAAAAGACTGATCTTGGGAAATGAACTGAAGCAAGAAAGGAATGGTCAACCCAGCTCTTGTAAAAATCACAATTTACAATATGAAGTGCATTTTATTCCATCTTTCCAACACATGGCACGGAAATGACAATTTCACACAGATGAGAGTGTATGAAGTCACAAAAAAAGCACCTGTAGATCAAAAGGTGGCACTGCATCGTAGCATTATTTCTTGGTTGACAATCATGTCTTTCAAGCATCGACAAATGGAACGACGTTAACGTCAGGAATCCATCTATTATAGTGATCTATCTGATGTATTTCCCAAACGTAAAAATAACTGCTGCCTTTCCTTTTAATATTGTCCATCTTGTAAAACCTACAGATGCCACTGGAAGAGATGCATTAAAGCACTGCTGAAATAAACCATTACTGAAATGAAAGATTGCATGATACTCACAATTTTGCGTACATGACTCAGAGCACTTCCCTCTTTGCCTTTGCAGTTCTCCACCTGGTATGGTGGCGAGATTACGACATCATCCATAACCATGATGTTCTTCTCCTGCCATTTACAGTCTTTGATGCTGGAAAACAAAGAGACCAGACAACAAACTCAAGACAGGCACCATCTAAATGATCACATCACTGTAGTCTCACATGCTTTTAATCTTAAGCCAAACGTCTTCAATGCATTCGTTTTCACAATGTATATAAAGTTGGCAAATCTTACGTTTTGTGTATAGTCTGGAATAATTGCTGGCCCTCAACTGACACCCCAGCACTGATTGCATAAGCTTGGGACAGCTTGTCTTCCTTTTCTGTTCTTGCCCGACTGGCAAGCTGTGGAAAAAAGACGTGTCAAAATAAGCCAAAACTGACAGACCTTCTCCATAATGTATTATTTACTGTCACATGTTCATCTGGTACAAGATATGTGAAGTGTGTTTACAAGCCACTATGATTATGTGTAGGGATGCACCGAATTTTCGGCCGCCGAAAATGATCACTGTTAGGTTCATGTTAATTCAGAGTGCATTAACTTAAGCACAACTGTTGATTTTAATAGTAAATAGGGATGTAATGATTAACCGCGAGCCGGTTGAAAATAGATTCAAAAACATGACGATTCAAATCGGTTGAGATGCTAAACAAATCGTGATTCAATTAGGGGTAGGAGTTTATATGAATCCATGTCTGAGCGATGTTAAAAAAAAATCGTGAATCGAATCGTGAGTTGAGTGAATCGTTACATCCCTAATAGTAAATGTTGAAATTAACTAAGATTAATAAATGCTGAAGTATTGTTTATTCGTTCATGTTAACTAATGTTAACTAATGAACCTTATTGTAATGTGTTACTAATATTAATACACTCAAAAAAAATATTCTACAACACTTTTCAGTTTATAAAAAAAAAAAAATCATTTTCATTTAACAACATTGTGTTAGGTTTCCCATTTAAACAATTGCATTGCGTTAAACTGACTTGAAACAGTTGCATTTTGGCTCAACTCAATATTTTCATTTTGAAAGAACATGTTTCAACTAAGTAGGCCAAAAATAACATTTGATGCTTGTTCAATTTCCTTATGTAAGTGAAGTTAATCCAACACAGTTCTTTACAACCACTTTACTTAATTCATTCGAGTTGAGAGTACATAAGTGATTTTGTGTAACTAGGAATTGGATTTCCCCTTCCCATCATGCTTTGCACAGGGCTGGATAAGGAGAATAAATGTTGAAATAAAATGTTATTTTATGCATTTTTTTAAAGCTTATAAAATTGGGAGGCTTGTTAATGTTTAATGCTCTTTTATGTTTGTATTTAGTGTTTTTGGGGGCTTGGCTTGATGACCTGCTAACATGAGTTAAAGTTGTTTTAATAATAAAATAACTTAACTACTTTGGTCACGCCATGGATGTAACAAAACCATCTTATGGCTAATGCCTAAAGTTAAGTAAACTGAATGTATCATTTTTTGTGTGTGTGTGTGTTTAGAAGGATTTCTGCCTAAAATGTTATTTTCCAGTTAAATGTTGTAGTCCGAGTTAAACAAGCATAAAAAAATCGTCATAAACGTATCAATTTCATTTAAACTATATTTGATCAAATTGTTGGCCCAACTCAATTACGTTTCATTGCAGGAATTTGTTTTTTTATGAGTTGGGGTTACACATATTTATTGTTGGAAATCCTGCCTTTTAATTAATTATTTTTTTGAGTGTATAAATTCTGTCCAATTTTATTGTGTTACTTACAGTAAAAAGTATGTTGTGTTTTTTTAAATTAAGTATCATTAAAATTTAGTTAAATTAAAAAGTCTTTGTTATTTTCCAGTTAAATGTTGTAGTCCGAGTTAAACAAGCATAAAAAAATCGACATAAACGTATCAATTTCATTTAAACTATATTTGATCAAATTGTTGGCCCAACTCAATTACGTTTCATTGCAGGAATTTGTTTTTTTATGAGTTGGGGTTACACATTTATTGATGGAAATCCTGCCTTTTAATTAATTATTTTTTTGAGTGTATAAATTCTGTCCAATTTTATTGTGTTACTTACAGTAAAAAGTATGTTGTGTTTTTTTAAATTAAGTATCATTAAAATTTAGTTAAATTAAAAAGTCTTACAAAATTACTTTGTAATGATTATTTATTATTTTATTAAATAATGCAAAGCATTTTCGGTTTCGGTTTTCAGCCCAGAATTTTCATTTCGTTGCATCCCTAATTATGTGAAAACAACGCAGTATAAGCGTATAAACTGATGCAAAATGTGCAATAACATGTTTTCCATGGTAGATAAAGATGCGTGGCTATTAATGATATTAGTACTGGAAAAAACACTTTGCAGCAAGCAACTGAAACTAAACTTCACTTCCTTGCATGGCATAAAAATTTAATTGACATAAGGATGCACGATATATCGGCCACCATAGCAGTATCGGCCGATAAACGTTCATTTTTACTGTTCTTGTTATCGATCCAATAAGAAAATTTGGCCGATTAAAGCTGATAAATAATGCATAATATTTCCTTCAGAGACACTTCAGGTTCGCACTGTTCACCATCATGGTTTTTAATGGCCTGAAATTTGATTGGAATCACTTCGAAAAGGAAAATATAGTTACGTGCAACGTGCAGGACAAGTCAGTCATAAAGGCTACATAAAATTATATTGAGAACATAACTGTAAAATAAATGGAATTTTTTTGCGCCCGTGTTTCACAGCATTGTTTTTATTATTTATATATTATTTTATTATTTATACAACTTTAATTATTTTCATTTTTTTGGATAAAGGAAGTTGGTAATAGGAGTGTAAAATTAATTTTAAAACACTGGTTCAAACAAGGCTGCTGTACTGTATGAGTTATGTTGACGTGTTTGGGATATGGCTTTTAATGGTGAGGATTTTTTTTTTGTAATCAGGCTCCCAAAAATTATATAAAAATTTGGATTTAGATTTATCGGCCAACATATCGGTTATCGGCTTTCATATATAAAGAATTATTGGTATCGGCCAACATTTTCATATGAGTGCATCCCTAATTGACATACAGTCACTGGTGTGTATATCTCGTCTGTTTCACAGAATGTGGCTCATTTATCCAGAATTTATGGGAAAAAAACAAGACGTGTGTGTACCATACCAAAAGATATATCGGTTTGTTTTGATATGATAAATGATTTACAAAGTGACATGGAGTTTGGAGCTCACCATGCATTTTACTTTAACAATTACTGTTCTTTTTTTTTTTTTAAATAAATCAATATTACTGTAAATTCTCATTGCTGGTCAGCACGATCGGTTTCATAATATCAGTCTCTCTTTATTTGGTACCGTAACGTTTTCATTTTTTTAGTACCGACTTGGTACCGAAGTACCGGGTCTTTTGACAACACTATTTGAAAAAGTCATGTTTTTCTACTAATGCCAGACTTATCGTCAAGAATGATCTCATCTTTTGGTTCGTACCCAAATAAAAGAAAGAAAGTCAAGTAAAGGCCCATTCACAACAACAACGACGATAACTTTAACTATATTAGCATCCCATTCGGTGTATTTGAAGTCGCTGTTTTAAAAGCTTTAAAGTCAGATGGATTCTGATTGGCTGACAAATGTGTTTAATTGCGACTGTACCACCCAATTTGATTGTGAAGTGTAAAATGCGATCTCACCTTGCTAATATTCAAGGATGCTAGAGGAGGAGGAGTCTCAGTGCGGTCATTAATAACATCCACGTCTGAAACATAGGCTAAGTTAACCAAGATGACGTCACTGAGGTTGGGCTTCGCGCTGGAGGGAGGACATTCTGGGAGGAGAAGGGTTAAGAAGAAACCAAACCAAGACATCCAGAGAAGATTATGCTAACGTTCTTTCACTTAAACAAAAAAATTAAAATAGTTGAATCGAAAGCAGGTGCTGGCAGACCCGTGTGCTACATAAGTGAATCACACGGCTCTTATTTTAAGACCCAGACATATAAAACGAGCAAAGAGTCAATCTAGAAAGTGAAACTGTAATGGAACAGACATGAGTAATTGGTTGAGCAAGTGTACAAAACACAAGATGGGGGAAAAGGTGACAGGCTGAAGACGTCACACTTAAATACGTGTGATTTATAAAGAGTAAAGGTCACCTGCACATGTGACAAGCAGACTAATTAATTAATCACTACAAACACAGGTCAGCATCAGACTCCATCTTTGCAGATGTTTGAACTCACACACATTCAATCTACCCTTAACTCAAAGCATATGGTGTTATTTTATATAACGGCATCTTCATGATCAAAACATGCTGAAAAACCCACCACACACAATCTACCACATGCCTTCTGTCATCTCAACAATATGATGGGGGAAAAGGTGACAGGCTGAAGACGTCACACTTAAATACGTGTGATTTATAAAGAGTAAAGGTCACCTGCACATGTGACAAGCAGACTAATTAATTAATCACTACAAACACAGGTCAGCATCAGACTCCATCTTTGCAGATGCTTGAACTCACACACATTCAATCTACCCTTAACTCAAAGCATATGGTGTTATATTTTATATAACGGCATCTTCATGATCAAAACATGCTGAAAAACCCACCACACACAATCTACCACATGCCTTCTGTCATCTCAACAATATACTTATATAAAAAGTACAACGCCTTTCAGTGCAATTGTAAAAAAGTCCACTTTGCTGTGAAATCTTTGCTAGGGTTTTTTTTATAAAGTAAACCTAAGAGTAAATTAACATTTAATAAAATGAAGGTTTACTATCCATACACACTTTTCAGAAATCATGTTAAAATGTATCAAATATGATCATCGGGCTTTTAAGGAATGTTTATTTGCTCTTCTCTCAATCGTCATTATATGTTTAGAAACTACAGAGCTTCGATCATACAAACATTTAAATATCTTACCAAGACATTATTGGAGATACAGTGCGACAAATTGTATTTATCAGTTATAAAAATCTCATCGATTTACAGTACAAACATTAATTTCATGCAATTTTTAGTCATAACATACACACATATACATATATATATACACACACACATACATTATATATATATATATATATATATATATACACACATACATACATACACACATATACATATATATATACACACACACATACATTATATATATATATATATATATATATACACACACACATATATGAAGAGTTTGGTTCCAAAATGCTATAAATCAATTTTGATTAATTTGAGTAAAAATGTGTTTTCTTTACCAAGAAAGTGGCGATGAAAACCACTATTTTCTGTTTCAAACTTTCACATAGCATCTTTAGATTACAATAACATAATTTAAATCCAGATTTTCAAAGATTTATTCTGAAAACTGATTATTTTTTCCCCAAAATGCAATAAATCCATTGAATCGGGAATATGAGCATTGGTCCGCCTGATATTACTGATCTGAGGACAGTAGTCAGATATCTCATGTATTATGATAAAACCAAGCGGCTGCTCTCAGCCTGCCGTATCTTTCCTACAAAGTAATACTTGAGGAAATAAATCCAGAATGGTTTATATTCTGTGAGAGCTGCCATTATCGCACTGGAAAGACATTAGCTTAGCGCGCTAAAGACATTAGCTTATGCAGGCTAATGCTGTCGGTCGAAGACATGCTAATCAACACGCTAACCACAAACAACACTTCTCCGACACGCTTTCAACGACCAACCCACATAAAACCAGCTCAGCTCAGAAAACCCCACGCGACAAACACAGCGGATCGTGTCCAAACACAGCACAGAGAGTAAATGAAGCGAGAACAGGCAGTGAATGAGGCCGCTAGCGCACAAACACGCTCGCGGAGCTGCAGTTTAAACGCACACGTCCGAGGAAGAAAGGATACTCAAAGTCAACATCTTGGACGGATAATCGAAAGCCACCACCTCTCCCTGCAAACGCTGACCTAAGCAGGTGAGGCAAGAGACGTGGCTCCCGATGCTGAAGTACTCCCCCGGTCCCGGAGCCGCCATCTTCTCCGCCAGGGAAACCGGAGCGCCAGCTTTACGTAGACGCACGCGACGCAGACGCAGACGCACGTCAGCTGACAGGAAAAACGCTCAACCGTCAGACTGAGAAGAATGTGAGATAAATAACAAAAAATATAAACAGCATACTAATAATATATAAGTAATGTAATATATTAAACAGTATAAATACAGAATAAACATATAGGCCTATATAACAAAACAACAACAACAAAAAGTTGATATTTGGCCAGTTACATCAGTTTGAAAAGCTTTTGGATTTTTTTTTTTTGTCGTTTTCATAAGTTTCTTATTTTGTATTTTCACGATTAAAAGGCTTTCAAAGCACATCTTAATAATATTTCAGTTATTTATTCATTAAGTAATTAAAATGTACTTATTCAAAAATAATTGAAGAGATGAATTCAATTAAAAATAATTTAGTTTTTCAGAAAAGTTTGGATACTTTGAAAACTAAAATATCAAATATTGATTCTAAATCGTAGGATTCTAAATAAATGTTTATCTATTTTCAAATAAATAAATAAACACTGTACACTGTAGTCGTAATATGTTTCTACATGTGCAAAGATATGTAGTATAGGGTCTCAAATATAATGAAATATCACGATACGCGTTTTAGTGAATATAGTTTTAGTGATATATATATATATATATATATATATACAGTGTTGGGGGTAATATATTACAAGTAACGCAAGTTACGAAATCAGATTACTTTTTTCAAGTAACAAAATATTGTGCAGCACAACTGTTTTCAACATTGATAATAATCAGAAATGTTTGTTGAGCAGCAAATCAGCATATTATACTGATTTCTGAAGATCATGTGACACTGAAGACTGGAGTAATGATGCTGAAAATACAGCTGCGCATCACAGAAATACATTACAGTTTAACAGATATTCACATAGAAAACAGCTGTTTTACATTAGAATAATATTTCACAATATAACTGCTTTTGCTGTATTTTGGATAAAATTAATGCAGGTTTGGTGAGCAGAAGAGACTTCTTTAAAAAAAATTAAAAACGTACTGTTCGAAATATATATATATATATACATTGTGTCATTAAGTTTTTATATATACAATAGAAATCTGTCAAATCTGTGATAAACAAGTTCAAAAGTAATCTGAATACATTACCTAAAATGTGTAATCCAATAGATTTCATTACTAACTACAGTTTTTATCATGTAATTTGTGATCAGCTCTAAGTAATCAGTTCTCAGGATTGTGTATAGAGTCTTACAGTGTGAGCCGCAGGTCCATCTCAACCGCTGCTCCTCTTCTCTTCTGTTCGCTGTTCTTTCTCCAACACAGCTCCAGGATTCGTGCATCTCCTCACAGCCAAACCCAAGACGGAGTAAAAGTTCTTGACACAACAGAGCCATCAGCTTGAAGATCAATCATATGTGCAGATGCTTGCAGCTTTAATGAATGTTGTTGGAGTCAAATGGAAAAGGATCGCTGCGTTGCATAAACAGTTAGTTCGTGCCAAAGAAAGTCTTTAGTGAAAAGGTTTCTTGTTGTTATCTCGTCTTTGATGATTCTTTTAAAAAAAGTTTATTGTAGAACAAAAGGCTGTATAACTTCAGTTGTTCACTGTATTTATTTTTTGCTTTTTATCTGTCAAGTTATTGAATTGTCTCTTCTTGTTTAAAAACACATATATATATATATACACTACCAGTCAAAAGTTTGGGATCAGAATGATTTTTAATGGTTTTACAGGAGTTTCTTCTGCTCATCAATGCTGCATTTATTTGATCATAAATACAGGAAAAAATGTAATATTGTGAAATATTATTATGATGTAAAATAACGTTTTTCTATTTTAATATACATTAAAATATAATGTATTTCTGAGATGCGCAGCTGTATTTTCAGCATCATTCCTCCAGTCTTCAGTGTCAGACTACCGGTCAACAGTTTGAGGTCAGTACATTTTTATTCTTTCTTGTTTTGAAAGAAATTAAAACTTTTATTCAGCAAGGATGTGTTAAATTGTTAAGAAGTGATAGCAAAGATTTATATTTTGAATAAATGCTCTTCTTTTTAACTTTTTATTCATCAAAGAATCCTGAAAAAAGTATCAGTTTCCAAAAAAAAAAAAATTTGGCGGCACAACTGTTAATAATTCTGATAATAAATCAGCATATTAGAATGATTTCTGAAGATCATGTGACACT